CGGCCACTGCACTCCAGCCTGGGCGACAGAGCGAGACTCCGTTCCCCCCCCAAAAAAAAATTTTGACTCTAAACCTCTGTGCTTTCACTATTCTGGAGGTCAGAATTGAGTGTACTGTAGAGTGGTATAGAGTCATAGAAGCCCCTACATTTGTCCTAGTATAGCAGTCTTTTCTTAAATTGCTGGATTTTGACTGGGAAAAGTTGTGAAATTAATTAAAAGAAGAAAAACAATTATTCTTACTTGTTTTTAGGAGAAATAACTTCCTGCTTGTGCATATGTCATAATGAAAGTATGGCAAACCTTCTGCAAAATAAACATATTCCTTCAAAATGAGACTGAAAGGAATATACAGTTGGCCCTCTGTATCCGCAACTTCCACATCCATGGATTCAACCAACTGTGTATCAAAGCTGTTTAGGGGGAAAAGATAGCAATACAACAATAAAAAATAATACAAATAAGACCAATATAGTGTAACAATGATTTATATAGCATTTACATTATATTAAATATTATAAGTAATCTAGAGATGATTTAAAGCATACAGAAGGATGTATGTAGGTTATTTGCAAATCCTGCTATTTCCTTGGATTTTGGAATCTGTGGGAGATTCTGGGGATCCACTACTCCCACTGTACATGCTGAGAGACAACTGTATTTATTTGGGATTTAAGCATTGGGGTTTGTTGTTGTTTTTGAGACCACTTCTCTCTATGTTCCCAGGCTCATCTTGAACTCCTGGGCTCAAGCAGTCTTTCTGCCTTGGCTTCCCAAAGTGCTGGGAGAATTACAGGCATGAGCCTCTGGGACCCAGCCAAGCATCAGTTTTAAAGTATTAATTGGCTAAAATATATGTATTACACATGGAATTCTGTCTTAGAAATGCACTAGCAGGCTAAATTTAAAACTTTTATTAAAAACAACTGTATTATGTAACTAAGTATAGCTCCATATGTGTAAAAGTTTTGGAAATACATTTTTATTATAATCTATGATCATCACATTGCCTGTATCTTAATATTTTCAATGTCTCTTGAAGCACTCAAATGTGTTTGATTCAGTTGAATAAAAGAATTTCTTTTTCTCTTTTTCTAGAACAATGCCGCAGAAGAGGTTGAAGAGGTAAAAAATAAATAAATACATAAAAAGCAAACAAGCGGGGACACCTGCAGTCTTAGTCACTGACAATGGGTTTAGGAAAAGTTGCACATTAGAGTCAACCCCTTCCTTTTTTTTTTTTTTTTTTTTTAATCCAGTATTTAGGATAATATTTATGCTTAGTGTAAACATTCTGTGAATGAAGTAGACTCTTCGGTGGAATATATTAATATATTACTGTATATCCACGTTTTCATGGAATGGTACTGTGGGAGACTGAGCAAACACTCTTTTGGCAACTTAGTAGAACAGCTTCTTAAAGGCTTTGCATGCTTGCTGCTTTAAGCTGCTTTTTTTTTTTTTTCTTCCCTTTAGTGATTTCAGTAGTTTATATTGGAAAGAAAAACAATTACAACATGTGCCCTTACAAATACCAAAAGCACTGTAAGGATATTTGTCTTGACAGTGTTTATTGATTTGAAGTCATATTAGGAAATATTTAGACAATGAAAATTATCAAGAGATAATTTACCTTTCAATTATGATAAATAGATGTGATTGGTTGCCATTTGTGTTCTTTTGCAGAACTCTGATAAGAAAAGTGTTCAATTTGTATTTAAGCAAACAGTGAACGACGTTTGCAATCAACTAAAAATTCGTCTATCGAATTAGGGCTGAAAATTACTGTTAAAGAGTGTTGCAGTATGTCTGGTGGCTCCCTTTTCAGGACTAGGGCTTTCTCATGGAGTACAGTATGTTAATATTTACCTATATAACTAATCTGTTAACGGTTTTTGAAAAACCTTTCAAATTATTTGAATAATCTTCATATTTTCATTTAACCTATATGACTCTAATTTTTTTTCTGAGGAAATCATTTGGTTTTTGAGTTTGTTTTTTCTTAATGTAAGAAAAATTGTATTTTTTTTACAAGTATCTTCAAACTGAATCTTTTATGCACCAAAGTTGGTTTTGAAAAGGAAAATAAAATCACTTTCTTGCTTGGTAAGCAAGAAGCCATATCGATTTTTTTTAACTTACAGAAATGGAAATATGTGTAACTTGTTAGTATTGTATTAAACAAATGTTGCATAGAGATAATAGAACATTGCTTGTAAATAATTCAGCAGATTTGTAATATATTTTTATATTTTGAAATGTACTGTAGATGTTTTTCTAGAGGCATGAAAGTTAAATGTATATATTATGGTAGAAATAATATTGAAGGATATTGTAATTCACTAGTGCTGCCAGAGGAATTGTTAATAAAAGCACCTTCTTTAACAATAAATGTCTTTCACAGACTTAAGGGACTATGTACTACTGTTAATATCTATAAGAACAAAACACATTGAACATCCTTCCAGAAAGTCTTTGAGGGAGGACCTATACCCATAATAGAATTATGGCACTCTTTTCTGACAGTGATCAAGAAATCAATTACTTCCTTACTGTTGGAAGGACATTGTAAAGTATGTGGTTATATGCAGTGAAACTGCAGAAAATACTCCTGATTGAGGAGTTTTCACTTTACTACAGTGATATAAAAACCAGCAGTTTTTACACTAAATTTTTTAAAGAAATATAGACAAAAATATAGAATTAAACCTTTGGTTCCAAAATGGGAAAGGTTCCATGATGCATAAATCATTTCTCATTTGCTTTAAAAAAATTTAAAAATGTAAAAATTATGAGAGACTTTATTCGTTAACAATGGGGTAAAGAGCTATATACATGAAATGAGTCTTATAAAATTAAGTGAAGTGCAAATAAAAGCACTGCTACTATAAGACATTCTGGAATGGTTGTTTAATAAGGGTATTATCCATTTGATCTATAGCAATGTGATTTTATTTTTAAAAAGAAAAGCAGTGTGTTTTCTTTTTTGTTGTTTTCTTTTGCTTAAGCACTTCATCAATTGCTTTCTTCTGTATCTGCGAAGTAATCTGCAATCTCTTTTGTTCTTTTTAAAATTTGATTTGTTATAAAATTGCCAAATAGAAGTGTTTCAGATACATAGTTTGTACCTGTATTTTTATTTTATTGCCTCATGTTCTTGTAAGTCATTCTTAATTGACCAATGATTGTAGACCTTGCTTGAGTATTTTTTCTAATAAAACAAAGCAAATCACATTTAGCTTCAAATTGTAACAATTCAATTAAATTTTCAAATTACACCTGAAAAGATACATCTGATATTTTCTATGTAGAGCACAGTAAATAAGTTTTTTCGTTGTGTAGAAATAATTAGATGTGAAAACCAGATTTCGTGATCGTTGATTAACTTCTGAGTACTCAATCAATCATAATCCTTTTGCTGCTTATCTGATGTTGGTTTGATACTGTTGATTAACACACCAAAAAGAATATGGAATTGAAATGAGCTAGCTTTATAACTTGTATGTATACATATATACACATAGCATCCAGTTATGACTGGGTAATAAGTGTGAAAATTTTAATTTGTGGTTTTCATTTATTAATGTCTACCCATCTGTATTGTTGCTCCTACCTTCAAATATGACATACTTGTAATATGACACCTGAAATAAGTCTGTTGTCCAGAATTTATGTATTGTTCAGCATCAAGCAAACTGCAGCTCACAAGCATACCCATTTATATGTTGTCTGTGCCTGCTTTCTCCTGCAGTGGCAGAATTGAGTGGTGAGACCTTAGGTCCTGCAAGCCCCCAATTTTTACTACAGGTTGGCAATCCCTAATCCAAAAATCTGAAATAAAAAATGCTCCAAAGTCCAAAACTGAGTGCTGACATCATGCCGCAAGTGGAAAATTCCACGCCTGACCTCATGTGACTGGTCATAGTCAAAACAATTAAGACTTTGTTTCATGCACAAAATTATTAAAACTGTTGTGTAAAATTACCTTCAGTCTCTGTGTATAAGGTGTATGTGAGATATAAATGAACTTTATGTTTAGTCTTGGATCTCATTTCTGAATCTCATGTATATGCAGATACTAAAAAATCTGAAAAAATCAAAAATCTGAAATACTTCTGGTCCCAGGCATTTCGGATAAGGGATACTCAGCCTGTCTCTGGTCCTTTAAGAAAAAGTTTTTGGTTCCTTTGTCTAGTTGACAAAAAGTTTGGAAACATAAACTTAGACCACACAACTTGCATTTTAATATGATAATGTTGATCTTGGTAATAAGCCAGTACATTAAATTTTAGTGAAAGCTGTTTCATGTATTTTACAGTAAATATCGCCATATTAGGTACCTACAACAAATGGTGGTTTTTGGAACCTTTTACGTTGGGTTTTTTAAGTTATTAGTAGTCCATCATTTCATCATTTGTGTTTCTGTATTTATTTTACTAAGAACTAAGTAAGATTTTGTACATCAGATTGTGTTGGAACCATAAGGCACATCTGCTTTATCTAGAAGAATCTTAAGGTGAAAAATAGTGTAAAATTTAAAAATTTTTATATTTCTAATAAACTTTTTATATATAAATGTTACCTAAAGTGGACACATGTTACTTGTGAATTTCACGTAAGATGGACAGTAATTATCTCTCAATGAATATTTTAAGATTTGTTTTACTAATTGAAAACATTAATATGTCAGTAAATCTTTGGCCTTAATGCTTTTCTCCCCTTTTACACATTAATAAAATGTTTTAAATATGGTATTACTCTTAAAAAGGTAGAAATTGCCAGTTGTTTAAAGCATTTTTATTTTTTCTTTGAATTCTTAATTCATGATGAACAGATGTTGGATTATTCAAATATAAAAATGGGAAAATATGTATTAAGAATACTTGATGGAGGGTTTTCTCTTTAGTCACAACTTAAAAAAAAGAAAACTTTAATACTTCTGCATAAGTTCTCTAAAAGAACTAAACTTCTTAGTTTATATGAAAACTGATATGTATGTCTGTTTAACAAAGCCTGTTGGGTACAGGTCTATAAGGAGATACTTCATTTCTAAAAAAGGAGTTAAATCGTGTCATTTGAAAATTTTTTTTTGAGATAAGTGGACATTTTGGGAATTTTGGTTAAAACGTATTTCTCTATTCTAAAAAATAATAGGATATGTATTCATAAAAGGGAAGAAATTGTTAGAAAATTTCCTGTGTACATGGTTTGTTTTAAGAATCTTGGTACCTAGTGTAGGACATTTAGCAGTTCTAACACTGCAGTTTTAATATATTTGCTGTTTTTTTTTTTTTTAAAGATTAGAATATGTTTAAAATTTAATGGTTATAAGGCTCTGTAGCCTTAAAATGTGTTATAGTAGTAAAATGTATTCTTACTTTTATCTTAAAAAACCTAAATATTTACATTGTATAATTTATTTATTGAATCAAGTTTGCGTGGTCTCACACATGGTTCTGTTAATCTAAAAATTAAAAAGGATTTGTAAGCAGGTTAGAGCAGGAATTGCAACCCAGGTGTTTTTTTTCTAGGTCAGAATTCTTTTCACTGTACCACACTGCTGCTCTCAGTGTGAGAACGTGAATGTACATTGTGATACCACTGTGAAGTTGTGTCCGGTGTTTCTGCCACAGCCAGTCCCTAGCATGATCACTCGTGGCACAAAATAGTCTGTAAAATTTGTTGAATGAGTATTATAGGTGAGTAATTTTTATAGTAGAATACTTTGGAGAATTAATAGTGATAAAACAGTAGTAGGGTTGAAATGACCTGGCTTAAGCCACATCCTGTGATAATATCAGATATGTTTTCACAAGAACCTTATATACCGGATATAGTGGCTCATGCCTGTAATCCCAGCTACTTGGGAGGGTAAGAAGGGAGGATTGCTTGAGGCCAGGAGTGCCACGCTACGGTGAGCTATGATCAGAGCACTGCACTCCAGTCTGTGTGACACAGTGAGACCCCACCTCTTTATTTTTTGCTAGGGAGTCTTGCTCTGTTGCTGAGACTGGAGTGCAGTGGTATGATCTCAGCTCACTGCAACCTCTGCTTCTGGGTTCAAGTGGTTCTTGTGGCTCAGCCTCCCAAGTAGCTGGGACTACAGGTGCGTGCCACCATGCCCGGATACTTTTTGTATTTTTTAGTAGAGACGGGGTGTTGCCATGTTGGCCAGGCTGGGCTTGAACTCCTTACTGCAGGTGACTCTCCCACTTCTGCCTCCCAAAGTGCTAGGATTACAGGCATGAGCCACTGTGCTTGGCCCCTGCCTCTTTAAACAACAACAAAAATCCTTATAAAAGGAACTATGCTTCAGTTTGTTTAAACATTCTTAGTGTAAAGGGTTATTGATGTTATGTTTTTATATACTTGGATATAATATTCTGGCTTATTTGATTTTATTTAAAAATGTTTCTTTTTGTCAGAGTCATGTTTTATGATATAAATAACTTTTTTTTTTTTTTTTTTTTGGTGACAGATTCTTACTCTGTTGCCCAGGCTGTAGTGCAGTGGCGGAATTGTAGCTCAGTGCAGCTTCAAACACCTTGGGCTCAAGTGACCCTGTCGCCTTGGCCTCCCAAGCAGCTAGGCCTCCAGGCATGCGCCACGACACTGGCTTTTTTAATGTATTGCCCAGGCTGGTCTTCAACTCCTGGTATTACAGATGTGAGCCACTGCACCTGGCCCAACATTTTTTTTAAACACTATTTTGAAGGAGCTACCCAGTATTTGGTTTCTTGTTTTTTGAGATGGAGTTTCTGTTACTCAGGCTGGGGTGCAGTGGCGTGATCTCTGCTCATTGCAGCCTCCGCCTCCCAGATACAAGCGATTCTCTTGCCTCAGTCTCAAGCGATTGCCCGGCTAATTTTTGTCTTTTAGTAGAGACAGGATTTCACCATGTTGGCCAGGTTAGTCTCGAACTCCGGACCTTGTGATCCATCCATCTCGGCCTCCCAAAGTGCTGGGATTACAGGCATGAGCCACCACCACGTCTGGCCAGTTTCTTTCTTTCTCTTCTTTTTCTTTCTTTCTTTCCTTCCTTCCCTCCCTTCCTCTTTTCTTTCTTTCCTTTCTTTTCTCTTTTTTGTTTCTCTCTCTTTCTCTCTTTCTTTCTCTTTCTCTCTCCCCCCACTGTTTTTTTTTTTTTTGGACAGAATCTCACTCTTTTGACCAGGCTGGAGTGCAGTAGCACAATCTTGGCTCACTGCAACCTCTGCTTCCCAGGTTCAAGCAATTCTGCCTCCACCTCCGAGTAGCTTGGAGTACAGGCACGTGCTGCCTTGCCAGGCTAATTTTTGTATTTTTAGTAGAGACTGGGTTTTGCCAGGATGGTCTTGAACTCCTTACCTCAGGTGGTTTGCGCCCCTCTGCCTCCTAGAGTGCTGGGATTACAGGTGTGAGCCACCGTGCCTGGCCTGGTTTCTTTATTTTAATGTTTTGTCTTGATCCCAGAGTGTTGCTGGTTTCAGATGACCTTTTTTCCTCTTCAGTGTTCAGATGCTTTTGCTGAAGAATACCTACGTTGTTTAACTAGTTTTTAAGTTTATTATGAAATTACAATGGACTTACATATATCTGTTGAAAACGGAATTTATATTTGGATGCCTAATGCATCTTGTGTATACATAAGATTATTATATTTTGGGGCCTTTTTTGTTAGAAAAACTGTTTTTAGAGGAAGGTGTGTAGCTAGGTAATAGTAATAGATTTAAAACCGTGATAGCTTATTCTTGAGAGCTGGGCTCAGTGCAAATAATTTAGTATAGACATCATCGAGCATTGCAGGAGAGTGGGTCATAAGGTTCCCAGCTTCTGTCCCCTTGAATTTCATAAATGAAAAGAGAGCCTAGTTATTTTTTTAATGCCAGCATAGTAAATGTCAATCCAAATTTGTAGAAGTTAGCTTATTTAAATTTCAGACTTCTATCTTCTTATGTGGCCGCCCCAAATCTGAAAGATCTGATTTCCTTTTAAATGTAATTTCAGAAGTCCGCAGTTTTTTCAGAATTTGTCCTAAGGATCAACAGTATTTTTTAAAGTAACTTTTTATATTAACTTATAATGACCAAATTGAAGAAATTATAAATGTAGAAAATAGGAACAAAATGGAAGTCTTTACTTTCAATTAGCCACACCTTCCTGGTCTCCTGATTAATATTTTTCTTTTGTCCTTTTTAAAATCATTACATACTCAGTTCTATAATTTGGCCTTTTTTTTGGTCTTTTTCTTTTTTTCTTTCTTTTTTTTTTTTTTTTTGAGACAGTCTTGCTCTGTTGCCCTGTCTGACTTGAGTGTGGCGTGATCTCGGCTCACTGTACCCTCCGCCTCCTGGGTTCACAAAATTCTCATACCTCAGCCTCCCGAGTAGCTGGGACTACAGGCACGGCTTACTCAGGGCATTGGCATAGATCTTTCTTCCTTTCGCTTTCCCTTTCTTTTTCTTTTCTTCCTCCCCTCTACTCCCCTCCCCTGCCATCCTTTCCTTTCCTTTTTTTTTTTTTAAGATACTGTCACCCAGACTGGAGTGCAGTGGTGTGAATATGACTCATTGCAACCTCCATCTCCCTCATTTAAGTGATTCTCGTGCTTCAGCCTCCTGTGCCTCAGCTGGGATTACAGGCATGTGTCACCATGCCCAGCTAATTTTTGTATTTCTGGTAGAGATGAGGTTTCACTGTGTTGGCCAGGCTGGACTTGAACTCCTGACCTCAGATGATGTGACCGCCTTGGCCTCCCAAAGTGCTGGGATTATAGGGGAGACACTGTTCACTGACTTAAAGAGTTTTGTTCATTATAAGTTGTGAGTTGATGCATTATAATTTTGGTATTGCCTAAATGTTTTCCTTAAAAGGTGGTACCAGCATAAACTTCCATCAACTGAGTGTGAGTAAATATTGTTGCTCATGCTGTGTTAATATTACTGTAGTCAAAGGTGGACAGATGACATCAGTATCTTTCAGTCCATTTAAGTTGTACAGTTAGATAAGTTTTGACAGATGTATATGTAATCACCAAACAAGATATATAGAACATTTCCATCACCTT